TTTTTCCACTGTATTCTTTTCTTTATGGATTTGTATAAATTCTTGGTAAAAAAGCTCTTTGTTACATATATTGCAAGTAATTTCCTCTTTTTGTGAAGCACTTTGAAATATTTATGTAATTACATTTTCAATCTTTCCCTTTGTGACTTTTGGGCCTGTTCCTACTTAGAAAAGCCCAAGGCTAAGACTACAAATTAATTCTCTGATGTTTTCTCTTTGTACTTTCATAGTCTCATTTTTTATTATTTAAATATTTATTGCTTTTGAATTTTTTTTTGATGAATTAAAATAGGGATCCAGATTTATTTTTTCCTGAAATTTTAATCAGTCTTTGTGTGTGTGTGTATGTGTGTGTGTGTGCGCAGTGCTGGAGACTGAACCCAGGGCCTCACACATGCTAAGCATGGGCTCTCCTTGTAAGCTATACCCCCAGTATCTCAGTCCTTATTTTTGAGTGAATTATCCATCTTGGTGTAAAATGCCAACTTCACCCAATACTAAATTAGCCAGTGTATCTTGGACTTTCTCTGCTGTTCCTTTGAGCTACCCATTTCTTCTCTAGCTCTAAGATGTTTATAGTTAGACCCTTAATTACTATTTTTCAGTAGAGGACATTTATTCTTCTACATCAGGTTTTATCAACAGTGGTGCCACTGACAGTTTGGGCAGAATAATTACGGGGGACTATCCTATGCCTAAGATGTTTGGCAGCACCTCCACCCTCTTCCCACTAGATGTCAGTATCACCTCCCAGTCTTGACAACCCAAATCATCTTCAGACATGGCCAATTACTCACTGGGTCTTAGGAGGGAACCAAGTTCAGACCCTACTGAGATCCAGTTTCAGATATACTCCAGTATCATTTTATCCATGTTTCCACTCCCAAATTCCCACTCATATTTTAATTAGGATGAAAATGAATTCATAGAATGATTTAGACATCCTATTACACTTAACATGTTATACTATCAAAATTTAATATTTATTATAAATCTTCTTAACCAAAAACCACGGATAGTCTTCCACTTACTTATATCTTCTCTGAAGGGCATAGACTTGTTCTTTAAAAGAGTTTTTAAATGCTTTTTAATATATAGTTCCTTGTACTACTAAGTTTATTCCTAGGTATTTTACTTTTATCATTTCTTCATAAACAGGGTTGTTTATTATATTATTATCCTTTTAAACTAGTCATTGATAAGAAAGCTATTTATTTATCCATTTTGAGTCAGACCTCACTATGTTGGCCTTGAACTCCTGGGCCGAGCAATCCCCCTGCCTCAATCTCCAGAGCAGCTGGGCCTACACATGCCATATATTTTATATCACCAAAGAAGCCTCCATATGTTTATAGTCTACCAAGAGTCTGTTATCAATCAGAAAGATTGATAATTTTGACAAATATATCTTGTATATTTATTTTTCAGTATAGGATATTTATTCTTCTACATCAAGTTTTATCAACAGTGGTACCACTGACAGTTTGGGCAGAATAATTACTGGGGACTGTCCCAGGCGTAAGACGTTTGGCAGCACCTCTATCCTCTGCCCACTAGGTGTCAGTATCACCTCCCAGTCTTCACAACCTAAGGTAGTTTTTCTTTGGTCTATTATTTTTCTACAAAAGATCAGATTGAGATTTTCTATTATTCATTCACTCTTGGATGACATAAATCCACTTGATTGTGATATATACTACTATTTTTTAATTTCTTGTTGAATTCTATTTGCTAATATTTGAACTTACATTTTTTTTTGCTTTTAAATAAGCTTTTTATTTTAGAATAACTTCATCGATAGAAAAATCATAAAGATAGTGCAGATTTTCCATATATTACACATACATTTTCCCCTATTAATATTTTATGTTAGTATGGTACAATCATCACAAATAATGGATCAATAATTATATACTACTTTCATTAAGGTTCATACTTTCAAATTTCCTTAATTTTTAAAAAATTTTTTAAAATATTTATTCTTAAGTTTTAGGTGGACACAATATCTTCATTTTACATTTATGTGGTGCTGAGGATCGAACCCAGTGCCTCGTGCATGCTAGGCGAGCACTCTACAACTGAGCCACAACACCAGCCCCTCCTTAGTTTTTTTTTTTTTTTTGAGAGAGAATTTTTTTAGTATTTATTCTTTAGATTTCGGCGGACACAGCATCTTTGTTTGTATGTGGTGCTGAGGATCGAACCTGGGCCGCACGCATGCCAGGCGAGCGCGCTACCGCTTGAGCCACATCCCCAGCCCCCTCCTTAGTTTTTATCTAACATTATTTTTCTGTGTTAGGACCCAATCTACAAGCCATCTTACATTTAGTAATTTTGTATTTTTAGTCTCTTCTTGTCTGTAACAGTTTATCAGATTTATCTTACTTTGTATAGTCTTATGAGTCTGAAGAGTATTCAATAGTTATTTTGTAGAATGTTCCTCAATTAGGATTTTGTCTGATATTTACCTCCTGAGTAGTTTCAGTAGATTCATTGGTATTGCATATCTTATTCTGAATTATTGAATTAGGCAAAGTCGACCTACTTAGTCCCTCACTTGAGCCTGTCGAACAAGATGGTAAGAGACTAACTCCATCACAGAGGGCTTTATCTTCTAGGTAATTCTCACTTTGGTCACACAAAGAACAACCATGGGAAGGTTATAGAAAGAAAAATCAATTTTAAAATTGGAGAAAGCTGTTTAAACACTAACTGAGGTACATTATTAAGAGTGTACTTAAGAAAAAATGAACTTAAACATTAGAATTTGGTTCAAAACTGAAAGATACACCCAAATACAAATACTACATATGGTGTAGTCAAAGAAAGAGAGTAAACAGATCTAACAGATATTTTAAACTATAAACCCCTAGGGTCTTTGTTTATATCAACCTTGGTGCCCTTCAACAAATGAATGGATAAAAAAATGTGATATAAATATATATATATACATATATATGTATATATATATATATATGTATATATATATGCACACATACATTGGAATATTACTCAGCTATAAAAATGAATGACTTTATGATTTTTTTCTTGTAAGTAGATGGATCTGGAGACTACCATGCTAAGTGAAATAAGCCAATCCTCCCAAACCAAAGGTCAAATGTTCTCTCTGATATGCAGATACTAACACACAACAGGGTGGGGAGAGGGGAAGAATAGAAGTTTAGTAGATTAGACAAATGGGGAACGAAGGGAAGGGAGGGGAGATAGAAATAGGAAAGAGAGTGGAATGAATCTGACTTAACTTTCCTAAGTTCATATATGAATACACCACCAGTGAAACTCTGTATAATGTTCAATTATAAGAATGGAATCCTAATTAGAATAAGTTATACTCCATGTATTTATAATATGTCAAATAACACTCTGCTGTCGTGTATATCTAAAGAGAACAAATTAAAAAAAGATAAAAAAGAAATGCAGTTTGTCTACGGACATACTGGGATGTCTGATTTTTAATTCTTGGATGAAATAGGATGGAATATATAATGTGCTCTCTAAGGTCGGAATGTTCCCCTAATGATCTCCGAGGTCTCTTTACTAATGGCTTTCAACTCTCCTAAATAGTTTGAGAAGCCTCACTTGGTTATTGAAAAAGCTACAGAAAACTTTTTCCAGGAAGCTTTCTGAACATTTCGGCATCAACATTTGAGAGTAAAATTGGTCTGTCATTTTTTAGTGGGCTTTAATAATTTTTGGAATCAGTGTTAGGCTAGTTTGGCTTGAAAAATAAGTTGGGCTTTCATTATTGTTATTTGCAGTACTGACAATGGAACTCAGGGCCTCACATATGCCAGGCAAGAATTTTACCATTAAGCTACATTCTCAGCATTTTTAAAAAAAATTTTTATTTTGAGAACTGGGGGTGTGGCTCAGTGGTAGAGCGCTTGCCTAGCATGTGTGAGGCACTGGGTTTGGTTCTCAGCACTACATATACATAAATTTTTAAAAAAATAAATGTCTGGGCTGGGGATGTGGCTCAAGCGGTAGCACAATCACCTGGTATGCGTGCGGCCCAGGTTTGATCCTCAGCATCACATACAAACAAGATGTTGTGTCTGCTGAAAACTAAAAAAAAAAATAAAATAAAATAAATAAAAATTCTAAAAAATAAAGGTCCATTGACAACTAAAAAATATTTAAAAAAAATTTATTTTGAGACAGGGTCTCACTAAGTTGCCCAGGCTAACCTCAAACTTGTGATCCTCCTGCCTTAGCCTCCCAAGCAGCTGGGATTACAGGCATGTGTCACCATGCCCAACCATTTGTTGTATTTTTTTAAGGTATGTGTGTTTGTGTGTGTTTGCATGTGTGTGTATGTGTGTGTTTGTGTGTGTATTTATATGAAATCAGTCTTTAAAATAGTAAAACTTTTATATAGAAACACCAGGCAATTTCCCTCACATCCAAAAGCCACATACAACCTTCAGCGATTCAACTTTTTTGAAAACTGAATAAATTAAAATACACCTTTGGAAAGGTAGTCTAGAACATGTTTTATGAAGAGTACAAAATCATAAGCGTACTAATCTTCAACATCTATTACAAATGAATAATGATATTTTTCAGTTATTTTCCCATGTTAGACCGTTTAACAATTCAGGGAGAGCTGTATGATAAGAGTGAGTCCATGGAACACTTAGGTCTCTTATCTGAATGCACAAAACCTTTTTACACCACAGAACCTACACCACCCTGCCTGGATCCCAAGGATTTCACACACACATGGTAACAAGGGGATTACCGAGCAGATTGAGCAAACCACCACACTCACTTCCTGTGACCTTTCTGTTTCTGGTCTCTCTCCACGTGGATACACGTTAAACTCCCCTGAGGGCAAGGACACTCCCTAAATCAGTTCCTGGCACAGGGTGAGTGATTAATAAAAATCTGATGAGGGAAGAGAGGAATACATCACCAATGTGCTTTTGTATGGCCAAGATGAATGGCTTCCTAGTCCCTCCTGCCCAGGTCCCTCCTACCTGTATTGGTCCTCAGGCGACTCTCAGCTAGTTCAGAGATGGCTCCTGCTGTCGAGGTCTTTTTCAGTCGAACTACCCCTGATGAGGTGGTACTTCCAGGTTTGTTGAGCATATCCTCGCTACTGGCCCTCTTGAGCTACAAGAGAGGTTGGAGGGAAAAGAGAGGATGAAGACACGTTCTCAGTAAGGAGTGCTGCAAAACAACAAGGTATCCGAGTGGAACGTGTGCCTAGTGGCTTAGATACAATACTCTGAGTAGCACCAGTGTGTGAAGTGAAAAAAATGTCAAGTTAGGCAAACCTGTGCCTGTCATTCGCAGGTCAGGTCAGAGTATGATCTTCTATAAGATCTTCTATAATCATTTCAAAGAAAAGAGTAAGATGACGGTGTCTAGTACCCGTCGTGTCACATTTCAAAATCAGTTGTCTTCCCTTATGTGCACAGAATACATTCCAAGTCCACTGCTAGTTCTTAAGTTTCCAGCCCTTTATATACTATGTTTCATTCCTACAGTAGATCTTAGCCACCTTGACATACAAACTTTTTTCTTTCCTTATGAAGTCGAGAATTTTAACCTCTTCACTTGAAGCACTACACAGCGTATCTGAATTGCCAGCATCGCTACACTTGCATTTTGGGGCCATTATTAAGTAAAATAATGGTTACAGGTTACATGAACCCAAGCAAAGAGATATCATGACAGTTGATCTGATAACCAAGATGGGATGAGGAGTATACACAGCATGGATGTTGAACACATGGATGATTTACCTCCCAGGCAGTATGGTGCAAGGTTTCATCATGGTACCCAGAATTGCATGTGATTCAAAAGTTATGAATCAATTATTTCTGGAAATTTTCACTTCATATTTTTGGACCATGGCTAACCAAAACTGTGGAAAGTGAAATGTGTAGATAAGAGGGGGACCGAATAACTGGAAAAAAAATCTGGTAGAAAAACAAACAATGGCACTGGCGAAAAAAGAACTGTGAGCAGCACAAAAGGCAGGATAGGGCGGTGCACAGAACATTTCTAAAATAGCTTAATGTACATCAGGAGGAAATGACTGGAGAATCTACCAAGTGCATGACACCAGGCACTCTGTAGAGCATCTCATAAAAGAGGTGTTCGGCCACAGTGCTGAGGCCTCAAAGGCGGCTCCATTCTGCTCCACTGGCTTGGGAGTCACTTACTGAGGGTTAGAACTTCACACATTTGCACAATTAAAAAAAAAAAAAAGAGGCATTTTCCATTTTCGTATCATTTAAATTTCAAGGTATAACCACAAGCCCCCAGAACAGTTTGAAAGAGAAAAAAATACCAATACCAAATGTTGGTGTATTCAGCAGCAACTATCATGTCTTGCTGGTGGGAAGGCAAATTAGTAAAATTGCAGTATCAATTTAGCTAAGTACTTTCACTTTATGCTTCAGCAGCCCTACTCCTTGCTCTGTGTCCAAGAAAACTACTTTAAAAGAATGTTCATAGAACCTTTATTTGTAATAATCCCAATCAAAGCAATCCAAATATCCTTCGACAGAAAAGAGATTAAATAGTGGTATAGTACACAATGGAAACACAGCAATAGAAAAAAATAAAGTTTGATATTAATAAATGGATCAATCTCATAGGTATTCTAAGTGAAAAGAACCAGAAGCAAAAGATCACATACTTCCTGATTCCATGTATGTGAAGTCTAAGAATGGCAAAGCCAATTAATGGCAACAGAGGTTGTGTCTGGGGAACTTACATATGGGAAGGAACCTTCTGGGTGCTGGAACATCCACATATACATTGGGTGGTGGTTATCTGAGTAAGAACTTGTGTAAATATCCAGTGAACTGAATAGCTAAGATCATGATGTGTGCTTTTTGCACTTTACTGTAGTATGCTGTGCTTCATTAAAAAAGAAAAAGGGGGCTGGGGTTGTGGCTCAGTGGTAGAGTGTTTGTCTAGCATGTGCGAGGCACTGCATTTAATTCTCAGCACTTATATAAATAAGTAAATAATATAAAGGTCCATGAATGACTAATAAAAATATTTTTAAAAAAAGAAAAAGAGATTGGGAATCTAGTTCAGTGGTAGAACACTTGAGCAGGATGCACAAGACCCTGAATTCCATTCTCAGCACTGCAAAGAAAGACAAAAAGAAAGAGTAAATTGGGGTGGAAGTGGTTGCAATTTGAGGCAAAGTCCTGGTTCCATTCCTACAAATATTAATGTACTTTTGTTTTAATTTTTTAAAAAATTTATTGTGGCAAAATGAGCCTAACATAAAATTTACTATTTTAATCATTTTAAGTGAACAATTCAGTGGCATTAAATATAGTCACCATCTGTAAACTGAAACACATATGACTTTTTTTTTAATCAATGATTGAACTCAGGGCACTTGACCACTGAGTCACATCCCAGTCCTTTTTTGCATTTTATTTAGAGACAGGGTCTTACTGAGTTGCTTAGCACCTTGCTGTTGCTGGATTTGAACTTGTGATCCTCCTGCCTCAGCTTCCCAAACCACTGGGATTATAGGCGTGCACCACCCCACCCAGCCCACATACTATATTTTAAAAAGAGGACCTTGCTGTAATCCTAGCAACTTGAGAGGCTGAAGCAGGAGGATTGCAAGTTCAACACTAGCCTCAACAATTTATTAAGACTCTGTATCAAAATAAAAAATAAAAAGGTCTGGGGACGTGGCTTAGTGATAAAGTACCCCTGGGTTCAATCCCTTGTACCACCAGAAAAAAAAGGTGGGGGGGGGGTTGGGGGACATTATTTAAAGTCTTAATATTAGCCAAACAACCATGATCAAGATTTTAGAACAAATTAATAATTTAAAAAAATAAGTAATATTAAAAGAATGACTTCCATTTAGTAGATGATTAATTTTTTTAGACAACAGCATAATCCCTGATTTAGCAACTGGATAAATATGGCACCTGAGGTTGTCACAGAAGTTGCACTATTGCCCTTTTTTAGGGACTCCAGAATTGTCTTCCTACTTCCCATCTCAGAGTAAAAGGTGTTTCTTTGCTCAAGTTTTCCAACCTCTCAAACCATCCATCAGATTGTCAGTATATGTGTTCAATATTAAATGGCCACAGTCTGTAATGTCAGCAGCCTTTTCCCGATAGGAAAATATAAATGAACTTATTATTCACTCTGCCAAGAATCATGACCAAGTGCATCCCTGGTTCCCAAAGGAAATCAATTCTGATCTCAGACTTTAAAAATTCTCAAGGGGACACCTCAAATGAAAAGTGGAAATCATTGTAGTTAAGGGAATTCTCAAAGCAATAGTGCAAGGGGTATGCACTTAGTTCTACTTTCCTCTAATTGGCCGACATTGTTGAAATCAGTTAAGTCTGACTTGAAGTACAGAATTATCAAACCCTTTAGCAAAAGGCCCAGAGGGCAAGTGCTCAACCTTCAAATCAGAACAGGGCTTCCACAAACCAGAGCACTTCCATTGGGGTAGAAATAAAACCACTTCAGCCTCCACCCCAACCACACCCTGGGACACTCTATCCCTTCTTCTATATGGGGTTGGGTCCTGAAGATGTGGGGTCCTGATGAGATGCCAGGCAGAGGCAACAGAAAACAGGAGTTGGCAATCAGTGGGAAGACTTGCTTTGTAAGATGGCCTGGCCCAACAATAAAGGAAGTGAGAGTGATCATAAGAATTGCAATAGGGGTTATAGGAATAACAGTGACCAGGAGGAACGCTCAGACGGTTGAAGCACCAGACTCAGGACGGGAGGGTTTCAAGTGCACAGTTAGTGGTGGGAGAGCTGAGACCCCCTGCATTAAACTCTAAGATATAGCATTTTGTTTGGGGCAAGGCAGGAAGGGAGTGGGGAATGCAATAGGGGACCCAGGATATGGAATCTCTATATGCCAGCTTCCCAGCAAGCACATGTGAAGGAGGCAGCTAAGGGTTAGTAAGGGCTGTGCAACCAGGCTGTAGAGACAGGCTGCTAGTGACAGATACTACCCTGTTCTTTCCTACCTATGTAACTGGAGGAACTGTTTTATAGTCCCCCAATTCTAAAATAGGGAAAATAATAATCCTAGTTCTAGGATCGTGCCCTTAATTAAGCACTAAATTAAGAACAAAACAAGTATCGGTGGATATTATTATTAATACATCCCAAATACTGCAGTAACTGGTTAAATATAACCTCTGCTTCAAACATATTGAAGCTCTCCTCTTTCTGCTCAAGCCATCTCCCCCACACCGAACAAGGTCTTTGGAATATGCAGGCTAGCTACACCCCCAGCCAGCAGAGCTTTTAAAGAGAGTACTTTATTTCCCCTGCATCTTCCATGAGGACTTCCACGTGAGAAAGATTGATTGCATAGACGCTTTCCTGTGTGTGTAGACGCTTTGCACACAGACTACAAAGTGATCCTACCTGTCCTCAGAAAAAAAACAGCTGAAGCTATTTATTCTATCACTACTCTTTTTTGGATGCAACATCAAATAGGAAAAGCCCCTCATCTCAGTTACTGATTTGTGACCTATCTCTATTTATGGCTGCATTTTTTTGGCTCTAATTCCCGGTCACACAACAGCATCAACACCACCCAAGGTTTCTGGTTTGTTATAGAAGATCCCTACAAAGGTTATGTGCTTTGGCGTTGCTTTGATATGTTGAAAAGGTATTTTTGCTAATGGTTTCTCTGATACTTAAGCTGCTGAGCACCTGCATATGAAAGCTCGAAAAAGGAAAAAGTTTAAATACCTCACAGATTAAAGAAACTAAGAAAGTCCTCTGAATTTCACAAAGATGAGGGGAAAACCCAGGGCCTTGCATGTGCTAAGCGAGCACTCTACCGCTGAGCCACAACCTCAGCCCAGAGAACCAAAATCATTAGCCATAGTGTAATCTGGTCTTCAGAAAGAGATAACATGTTATGATTGCACAGTGGTCCTCAAATGTGAGCAGGCATCAGAATTCTGGGGAGGGTTTGTTGAAATGCAATTGCTGACTTCACCTCTCTTTAAACCCAACATCAACCATCATGTTTCTGATTTACTAGGTCGAGGGTAGGGCCCAAGAATTTGTTTTCTACCAACTTCCCAGGAAATGCTGATCTGCTGGTCTAGGGACCACACTTTGAGAACCAAA